TTCTTTCCAGTGGCATTTTGGGAGGCCAACGCCCTGAACACCTTGTCCTCGGACAGAGGGACTGTCACGTCCCCGCCAGCAGGTGCCACTTCCTCATGCCTGCGGTGGTGCAAGCTCGCGTTGCTGAACAACGGAGCGGGGCCGTGGCTCGAACCCCGCAGCCTCCACACCCCGGGGCCGCCGCGCTCCCATCCCAGCCGGGCTCCGGGAATTCGGAGCGCTGGAACCAGTTTTGTTTAGCAAAGGCACTGAAAGGGACTCATTAACTCCCTCATTGCTGTTGTGAATAAGAAGCTTGACTAGGCCAATATTCAAGCAGCAATCAATTTATTATTCAATGTGGTAAAGTATGAGCAATACAGTGCTGAGTACAGTGGGGGAAGTTTTCCCTCCAACTGCACACCGATAATTGAGGGTTACAGGTATTGACAGGGTACTCATCAGTGTTTTTCAGCAGTTTCTATTTCCAATCTTTTACTCATCAGCAATTTTCATTCCAAATTATTACATCACAATTCTATACACTATTGTGATTTTAATTTCTCAGATGTATCTCAAAGGAGTATCCCCAGATGGTGATGGTCCAGTTTCTGAAAGAAGAAAGACGAATCCCATCTGGTGGGGTCCGGCTCCCCAGATGTGTGTCCACCTTTTAATTGCAGAGACTATAAATCTCATAACAGTGATGTCCAACTTCCCTTTGGTTGAAACCATAAACCCTTGAGGTGATGTTCATCTTCCTTTCTCAAGCTGTTTTTCTCTGCTTCAATAAGGCGTGAGATAAGCATATTTCCTTTACATATATTCCAAAGCTATAATTTCAAGGATACAAGTAATATTCTAACATTATACTTCAAAAGGTTATTATTGCAGAACTCTTTATGGATTAAATGCAGGCAAAAAGCAACATCTTTAACACCTTAATTCCAATGCTCCTAAATCAACTAGGGTTAATTTGCAAACAAAAGATAGGTTCAAAGGCCTTTTTCCATGCTTTGTTTTCCTCAGTTATTATTAGAATTCACAGCTCTCCCATTGTCGGGGTCCACACATTTCGCATTCACAAATACACACGTCGCCTGTTTGTACCTGACATGAAACACAGCTTTGCATCTCACATTAGCACTGCACTGAGGATGCGACCCTTAGTTAGGCACTGTAGTGGTTTTGGTTTGCTAATTTGAGGTTTTGTTAATTTTGAGGGTTTTTTTGCGTAATGTAGTATTGAGCGTGATGGCTTTAGTGTTGGTGAAATCACCAATGTACTCGTTTTCTGTTGCGAGGTGGGATTAGGAGAAAGGTGAAGTAGGTTTAAAACTTTAAAAGGGTATAAAGAAGAATTTATTAATAGTAACTAAAAGAAAGCATAATGAGAATTAGGACAAAACCTTTAGAGTACTTCTCTCTACAATAGATATAGATATATACAATCTATATAGAAGTATATATATATATACACAATAGAAGTGTATATATATACACTTCTATGTAGAATATATATACTCTATATATATACACTTCTATAGTATATATATACTTCTATACTTCTACTCTGTATATATATAGTATATATATACACCCTCTCTATATATATACATATATATACTTCTATAGTGTATATATATATGGTTCTATGCAATAGTATACAATATATTCTATTGTATACTTCTATACAATAGAATATATATAGAGATATATATATATATGTTTTTTTTTACTGATAATGCAAAGGAATAAAATTTAAAATTTTAGTCAGTTTATCACTTCTAAAATCGTATTTTTTAGTTCACTTAGGGAGAGATGTCCTTCTTGTTAATGTTATGGAGACTTCTTTGCAAGAAAAAAAAATAGTTTTTTGCGGCTCTCGATTTCTTTATGAATAGCTGTTCTTTGGGGAAATCTGTAATTGTGAAGCCTTTCGTGTTTCCTACGAAGCTGGCTGCATTTCCCACCCTCTGTGCCCGTGCTGATAATGCAAATCCCTTCTGCGGCGGGTAAAGCGCGGCTTTGCGGGGGAAGCAGGAGGTGACTCAGCATTCCAGCCCGGCCGGGGCCGCGTCCCGGGCACGCAGCGCTGAACCGCGGGGAGGAACCGCCGGCGGGAACGGAGCGGGAACCGGGCGGGAACGGAGCGGGAACGGAGCGGGATTGTCCCGGCATTGCCCCGGCATTGTCCCGGAGCCGCCGCTCCGCGCCCCGCTGGGAAGCAGCCCGCCCGACCTGCGCTCACACACCCGTGAGCTTTGCCTTCTTTAGAGCACGCTCTGATGTCTTGTGAAACTGGCCTAGAGCAGAGGCTGGACAGAGCTAAAGAATAAATAGGGATTTATTAAGATCCACCTTGGTCAGCACCAGAGCCCAGCCAGGGCTGCACCCAAGAGGAGCCAAAATGGTCCCAAAATGCACGACCGGGCACGGGGACTCTCACTGTGATCAGTTCTGCTCCATTTGCATCTTGGAGTTAATCTTGGGTTGTCCATACTCTGGTCTCTCTCCTCTCCCATATCAAATGCCTCTCTCTGAGGCTTCTGGCTGCATTAATTTTGGTTTTTGTCCAATTCCAGCTTTAGCCCATGCAGTCCCATCCTTCTTGTTTTCCTCTCTTCAGCCCACAGTGTTTGTGCTCCTGGGCCTGAGATCTGGGTCTGTCCTTGGTGCCCAGCTAGAAGAGGAATTGTTTTGTCTCCCTGCTTTGTGCACAGAGCTCACCATCCCCTGATATGAGCCTAGACCTACACGCTAAAGCAGAATAGAGTCTGGAAAATATAAAAGCTAAAACCTGAGGCATCAGCTCAAACTGCTGCGTTTCTACCCTTTCTTTTTCCTTTTACCCAAAATAACCCCTTGGACTCTTTCCGTTTGACCAGCCATTCATTTGGGTTTTGTTTTTTCTTTCCTTTCTGCTGCTTCCTCTTGGATGTGGTGCTGCACAGGGTCCAGCAGTTTTTACACAATGCTGTGCATTTATTTCTGCACATTTATTGTCTCCTTATCACCCCACACAGCTGGCATGTGAGGTGGGTGCATCTATCCCACTTTGCTCTGAGGAACTGTTGCTCCACAAAGGGTGAGGGAGCCTTTTTGGTGGTTTTTCAGGAAATAACAGCATTACTGGGCAAAACACACACAACTGCTCCCCAAGGGAGGTTCCTTCTGGCTCTGGCTGCCCTTTGAATGAAGGGGTGAGGGCTGGCAGAAAGAGCATGGAATGCTGTAAAGAAAAATGTGGATCTGCTGTTCTGGGAGAAAGATCTTTGCCAATCACACCAGCCCAAGTGTGGGAAAGCACAAAAGGTGCTGGGTGCTGAGCCTGGACAGGAATCTTCTCTCTTATACTCTCAAATCCCCTTTATCAGGTATCCTCACAAAACACAGGGAAAAATCAGAGCCAGAGCTTGGGCACATCCAGGGGCAGCAGGACAGGGTGGGTTGTGAAATCCATTGTTGAATAAAAAAAGAGCTTTTCTCTGGAGCCCGGGGAGGTTTGACAAGGGGAAGATGGATGGGCACACCGCAGTCCCTGCGTGTGGCAGGAGCCTTGGAGAGGAGCAGGACTGCAGGAGCTGGGGCTGGAGAACCTGCAAGGGCTGGAGAACCTGCAAGGGCTGGAGAACCTTCAGGAGCTGCAGAACCTGCTCTGGGCTTGGGGTGGTTTAGGGGACACAGGGTGTGTGACACCCCTGGCCATCCCCCCGTGCTGTGGGAGGGAGCAGCTCCCCCGTGGGATAACCCTTCTCCCTAGAAAGGATGCAGGACAGGGGTGGGCTGACATAATTCACGCTCACTTTTTATGATTTCACTGCCCTGGGCTCAAACTCCTGGACTCTCCTTCCACATCTGTTGTGCACAAATTCAGATTTGTTACCCCCAGTGCAGTAAGCCAATTGTGACACACTCAAGAGAGACATTGATTATTTATTCCAGAGCTGCACAACTCTGGGTGCTCGCTGGGATTCCACAAATCAGGCCATGACAACTATCCAAACCTTTTACTATTTATACATTTTAGCAAACGAAGGAATTTTTGTTGATTTGCTACAAATTACATTTGCTACAAGTTTTCTTATTAATTATTATTCTATCTTCTATTGGGAAATTATTCTCTCACTAGCCATGCTAATTAGTCCACATGCTCAGTCTTTCTCTTCTTTTGGGTTGGTGGGCTTTTTAAATCTGCCCCTGCTGGAATTACAGTTACTCAGAGCTGATTCAGCCCAGTTGCTGAGTTGGTTTTATAAGTTCCTTCCTTATCTGGAGGGTTCTGCCAAATGTCCTCATGGCCTGTAAATTCTGCATTTTTTGTGCCCACTATCAGTGGTACATCCTTCTTCCCAAGCTTTGTTAACCTCCCCCTGAGATAATTTAAAAATGTCAAACCTTAAACCTTTACAAGGCAATTCTACCAATATGCAATTTGTTTTTCTAACAGCTGCACATCACTTAGAACTTGTTGGCTGCTATGTCTTTCACGGATTAAATCTCCTTTATTGTTGATTAGCCTTGAAAGTACACAAAGATCAAACATCAAAGAACATCCTCTCTTAAGAAAATTTTACGCAACAGTGCCACGCTCAGGACGAGAGGACATAGTTTCAAGCTGTGCCAGAGGAGCTTTAGGTTGGAGATGAAGAGAAATTTCTTTACAATAATTGTGATTAGACAATGGAACGGGCTGTCCAGGGAGGTGGTGGAGTCACTGGCCCTGGAGATGTTTAAGACAGGACGTGGCACTCGGTGCCATGGTCTGCTTGCCAAGGGGGTGTTGGGGCACGGGCTGGACTCGATATTCTCGAAATCCAAAATAATTGAGCCTGTGGTTCTGTCACCCATCGCGCCACTCCCAAGATGGCGGCGCAGCCCTCCCGCCACTCCCAACATGGCCGCTGGCAGCGCAGTGCGCATGCGCCATAACCCCTGCCACCCTCGGGCCTTTCTTGAACGGCGCCACTCTCAAGATGGCGGCGGCGCTCTCTGCGCATGCTCGGTGCGCCCCGCCGCGCCCATCATGGCGGCGCGGCAGTGACGGGCCGGGCGCGGTGGGAGCGAGCGGCGGAGCGGCTCGGCGCGATGATCCCGGGCGAGGAGGTGTCGGCCCGCAGGAGGGAGATCGAGGACAAGCTCAAGCAGGTGCGGTTGGGCCTGGGACGCTCTGCGGGCGCTGCCGGGGCCTGGGGCTGGGCCCGGGCCCGCAGCCCCCCGGCGTTGCCGGGCAGATGGGGCTGGGTCTGGAGCTCCTCACCGGGCGGGGGGCGCCCCGGGACCCCTCAAGGCTCTCGGCATCCCCCTCCTGGCTTGGGAACACCCCCAGATCGCCCTTCAAGGCCTGGTTTGCAGGGTCGGGGCATCTTTGCTCCCCGCTTTGGGCCTGGGTTTCCCCTCTCGGCTCTTGGGAGGGTCCGGGGGCTCTCCCGGCAGGTGCAGCCTGTGAGGGCAGCCCTGACCGGCTGCAGCTCCCCCTCTGCTGGGGCCTTTGGGGACTCAATCCAGCCCTTGCAGGCTGATGTTCCCCCCATCTGTGGGCTTGATGCCCTTATACCAGCCCTCGGTGGCTGCTTTGCATCGGACACTTGAGTTCCCGGCGGATTTGGAGGTGCCAGTGCAACACCTATGTTGTGCTGTGGCAGCGAAATGTGTGCTCTGAGTCCTTGTGCCTCAGTGGGAAAACTGTTAATTTTATTTTGTGCTGATGCTCATGGCATTGAAGGGAAACAATGGATTCATAAACCCCCTGACTCATTATAGGATGTGTCCCCACCTTGGGTTACTTGCCCGGATTTCTTTTAAGAGGTGGCAATATTAAAATGTGGCCACAGAATCAGCATCAGACCCAACATGGCTTGCAACAGTTTACAAGATTGGTCAAAACCTGTGTGTACTGTTTCGTGACTTACACCTTAGTGTTCAGAATTTAAGAGGGTTTTTTTTTTCATCTTACTAACAGGAAGAAGAAACTCTGTCCTTTATCAAAGAGAGCCTTGAGAAGAGTGACCAGCTCACCAAGAACATGGTAGGGATGTCCTAATGTTGGGCCTGGCTTTACTTTTTCTTAGGTTATTGGTTTTCGAGGCTGTTGTTGTGCCCATCTGAGGGATGTGGAGCCATGAACCACTTTGGTTTCAGTGACTGGGCAAAGGGGAAACCTGAGAAATGCTTCAATACTGAGCTTCTCTCCTGCTCTGCTGAGGGCTCAGCTGAGCTGTTGGCCTCATCTCTGCTACAGTCAGCCCTCTCTCTTTGGGAAAAGGTATTAAGAGATCTCAGAACTAGTTTGTGCAACAGCATTGTGTTGTTGCTTCATAATTCAGGTTTTGTTTGGAGTTTTATTTTGTGAGTGTTCTGCGTAAAGGTAAAAAAGTAATTATTGTGTTGTAATGGCTCATAAGCCCTCAGCTTATATACTCTGTCCAGTCTTGGTCTCAGTGCTTTAAAAAAGTCATAGAGGCACCACCAGAGAAGTATGGAAAACAAGACATAGGAGTGAATCTCCTAGGAATTACCTTTTGGCCTGGAAAAGGTGACTGAGGCACCCTTTTATGAGCTTGCTGTGGTTTCCCAGCTGTCAGAAGCACTATCAGGATCCTCTTAAAAACCAAATGTCTGGTAGAAAAGAAGATTCTCACTAGGCTGGTCCTTGTGCAGCTCCTATTTGGGTCTCAGTGTGGAGCAAAGGGGCTGCTGCTTGTGCTTTTGCTGCTCTTTTTACATGGGGCACCTCCAGGCAGTTCCTGTGGATTTATTTTCTGTTGGTGAAGAGAATTTTGCTTGTCTTTTTTACTGTCTTGGAACATTATCTTCACTCTTTGTAAGCATTTCACGTGGGATTGGCCCATCCCTCTATGGCAGGTGATCTGTTCTGTGATTGTTAATAAAAACCAGGACACAGAGGGATGGAAACAGCTGCTGAGGAGCCATGGCAAATTAGTAGCAGAGCCCAAAACCAAAAGCTAGGCCCTGAAGATCCCTGACCTCACTGCTCTAAGTCCTGCCCTCTCCATAGGAAGGAAGTCCTCAGCTGTTGGTCTCTCTCTGGTGTGTAGGTTTCAATCCTCTCCTCCTTTGAGAGCCGTTTGATGAAGCTGGAGAACTCCATCATCCCTGTCCACAAGCAGACAGAGAACCTGCAGCGCCTGCAGGAGAACGTGGAGAAGACCCTGTCCTGCTTGGATCACGTCATCAGTTACTACCACGTGGCCAAGGACACAGAGAAGATCATCAAGGAAGGGTGAGTTGAGCAGATAAATCCTGCTGGGAGCTTCATCCTGTTGGATTTTGGAGATAGAGGTGGGGAAGCTGACTCCACACACCCTTGGGATGCTTGGTACCCTTCCTACACTCTTTCCTCATCCCCAGTCCACCCTGACTTGACATTCAGCCATTTCCACAGGCAAAGACAACTCAGACTCTGCATTGGGATCTCTTCCAGATCTTGCAGAGGTGCTCTCTTTGCAATCTCCATGAACACTGGTGGCTGCTCTGTTTTCCTCTGCCCTTTTCCCAAAGGTTTTCCCTGCTCATGGAGGTTGTCACTGCATCCAGGATGTACCAGAGCTGTTCTGGAGCCTCCTGCTCTGGGAGGGTGTTGGATGGCTCATGTCTGAGATGGGATGTGCAGTTCCCTCTGCCTTCCCATCAGGGCCTGTCTGGGAGAGCAAAGCAAGGCTGAGAGTTGTGTGCTGCTCCACCATCAGTACTTCTGCACTTGCTGTGTGGGTTGGGTATCCTGCTGTGGCACTGGGTGCAGGCAGAAGGGAATTCCATGATCTCCTCCTAGCTGAAGAAAAGGGAATTGAGATTTCCCTTGTTATTTTTATCCTGAGTCTGGTTTGGTGCTTTCTTGTTATTATGTTTGTTTGCTTCTTGGGCAAAAACAACTTTTTATTTCTGCTTTTATTTTTAGCCCCACGGGGAGGTTGGAGGAATACTTGAATTGCATGGACAAAATCCAGAAGGCAGTGGAATACTTCCAGGACAACAACCCCGACAGCCCGGAGCTGAACCGTGTGGTGGGTGACCTGGAAGCTGTGGGTGATGAGAGGGGACAGCCACAGCCCTGCTGCCTGTCCCCTGCTGGTGGGGCTGTGACTTTGCTGCCTGGGGAAGGTGGTGTTTGGGCACAGCTGAAGGAATCATTGCTTTGGCTTCTGGGCACAATTTCTGCTCCTGGCATTTTGCTCTGTCTCTCTGTTGTGCCAGGAGGACTCTGAAAGCAGCGCTTGCACCTGTGGAGGAGGAGTAGATTGAAACTCTTCCTTCAGCTGCTTGAGCAGAATGGGTGATCTCCTCAAATCCCACTTGAACAACTCCCAAGCATTTCTTAAATTTAATTGACTCTACAAATCTCAGATGCAGGTGTGGTTGGAGTTTGAAGCCTGCAGTACTTGGCAGTGGTTAGGAAGGATGTTCTTATGCAAAAATACTCCTGAGTGACTGATTACGGAATTCCTGTTCTGCTTCTGCCCTGCTGTTTTGTGCAGAAATCCCTCTTTGAGCGGGGCAAGGAATCCCTGGAGTCGGAGTTCCGCAGCTTGATGACCCGACACACCAAGCCAGTGCCACCCATCCTGATCCTGGACCTGATCAGTGGGGATGAGGAGATGGACACACAGGAGGAGATGTCCCTGGAGCACCTCCCGGAGAGCGTCCTGCACGACATCGTCCGCATCTCGGGCTGGCTGGTGGAGAATGGCAGGAACCAAGGTGTGTCTGCTGCCCCTCTGTCCCTGTGGGCACCACTGGCAGGATGAGTGGCACCTTAGTGGCACCTTTCAGCTGAGTATTTCAGTCTTTCCAGCACCTGGAGGTCCTGCTTGCCTTTTTTTTTTTTGCAGTGAGACTGAAGTGATGGGTTGTGGGTTGAACAATGAGCTGTGTAAACAAAGCACGAATTATGTTAATGCAAAGTCTGTCCTGTAGCAAAAATCCACTGCACTTGCACCTGTAATGCCTTGAGATGAAGCTGCAGCTACCCAGTGCTCAGGTTTTATAAATGTGCAAGACACTGGGCACTTATTCCCATCTGGGAAATATTTATGACCAGAACTCTCTGCACAGAATGTGACCAAGGGCAAGGAGGAAAGCAGCACAGACTTTCTTTAGTCTGTACATGTCTCCTTTCCTATTCTGCAGCATCAAGAACTGCCTAGAGCTTTATAGTCCTTTTATTAACTTTTCCTTCAGGATTGAGTGACTTTGTAGACTTGTACGGGAAATGTGAACTTTCACATTCATGCAGCTCCAAGAGTCACCCCCCACCTCACTGATTCACTCCTGAAGGGGGGATTACTGTGCCTTCCAAGTATGGTGAACATCCTTAAAAGCTTCTTAGGGATTTTTCCATGATCAAAGGCAACTCATGCATACAGAGCATATTTTATTAGTCAGTTTGCATTCTGCTTTCAAATGACAATCACCTCATTAAATTCCCAAGTGCCATGAATCCTGAAAAGTGTGTGAAGTCTCTCATGCTGGAAACAGAGCACTTGAATTGACAATGCCTTGCACAAATATCTCCTGTCAGTTCCACCACTTGGTGGTGGTGGAATTAATGTTGTGTGTGGTGGGAGGGCTGGAATGAGGATTGCAGGGGAAGGGAGAAGAAGTTTTTGAAGAAAATAGGAGATGCTGTGGGAGGGAAGGATGCTGACTTGGGGTCCCACACCAATGCTTTTAAGTCCCTACAGTGGTATAAAGTGTCTGCTTTACCATATAGTGTTCCCTGTGTGCTTATAATCTCATTTTTACCTTGTCTCCTCAGATTTCATGACAGTTTACTTCCAGATCCGCTCCGTGCAGCTCGACCGCTCCATCAAGGGGCTGAAGGACCATTTCCGTAAGAACAGCTCCTCCTCAGGGGTGCCCTATTCCCCTGCCATTCAGAACAAAAGGAAGGACACCCCCACCAAAAAGCCCATCAAGAGACCAGGTGAGTCCCCCAGGAGGGGTCACTGCACTGGATGTTAACACATCCTCAGGCCTTCTCATTGCTGAGGTATCTCTGTGTCTAAAATGTGGTTTTAGGACATTTAGGTGAGATTTTTGGAGGTAAGCACTTCTCTGCTCTGGATTCAGCATTGGGATTACAGACTCTGTCTGTCTGTCAAGCCATCAGGTCTGTTCTCTGGGTGCTCTAAAGAGAGGCCCTGTGTATGTCTCCTTAACAAAGGAGATGAGTGAAAAGAGACCTGAGTGGGCCATGAAAGGATTTGATCTAGAAGAACACCAGGTAAAATCCTGAGCCTTGGCATGTGGAATGTAGCCTGTGCCACAGCAAATAGAAAGCTCATATCTGATAAAACACCTCACTTCAGTCATTAGCTGTGAATAAATTATTATTGTGCTGGAAAGCAAGAAGCCCCCAGGAGTTGAGATGGGGATTAGGTAGGTGACTACAGAAATGAGATACAGCATTGTCTGAAGCCTTTAGAAAGGCTCTTAAAACTCTGCCCTCAGCCTGTCTCAGGAAGAGCTATGAATGTGGCTGATGGGTTATTCCTTCTCTCCTCACAATGCAGTTTTGCTGCATTTGGTGCAGCTGGCTGAGGTTGGTCATTCTGGAGTTCCCATCTCTGGAATATGCCATCTGGTGGGAGCACAGCCAGGAGGAACAGCAAAAGCCAGCATAGGGATATTGATCCTCTGTGTCCCAGCACTCTGTTGTCTCCTCTGTAACTGTGATCACATCAGAAAAGTTCATATTTCTGTAGGTTTACCTGGCCAATACTCCCCTTCCCTTTTTTGTCCTGTGTTGTCCAAATACTGTTAAAATAGTAGGAAATGTGGGTAGGAACTGGGAATGGATGGGATGGGGAAAGGGAGGAAGAAGAAATACCCATTTTAATTGTGTTGTGTTTATTTTTATAATCCTGATGTGAATGCAGTCCTCATCCCAGGTAATGTGTCTATGTGTGTGTGTGCTGGCCCTGGTGCTCACTCTCTTCACTTCTGTGTGTGGAGAGGCTTTGCTGGGCCTTTTCTTGCTACAGCAGAGGGTGTGCCTGGGATATTTGGAGGGGGAAGGCTGTGGCATCCAGACATCACCCCTGTGGTCTTTTAAAATCAATCTCTGCCATTGCTGCTGTGCCCTGGAGCTGTCCCTGAAAGCTGATGGAATTGGTCTGTGAATTTCAGTGAATTTTTCCTGGCAGCAGAGAATCACTTGGTAAGGCTCAGAGGCACTGAAAGGTGCCAGTGGGATTCTGTAGTTGAGCCATAGGAAGCTCAGGTTGCAGATGCTTCAGATTTGGTCAACACTTCTCAGTTATCACCTGATTCTGAAAAGGTTCCTGTGTTTTTATTGTTATGAATTCAGCATGGTCAGCAAACATTTCTGAGCAGCCTGACAAGTGATTGTATCTCCCCTGTGCTCTTAGATAAAGAGTCAGGGATGGGGGAGATGCTTTGTTTTTATGGGCAGATTATTGAAAAATCCTAGGGATTTTTTAAAGAGTCTCAGATCTTGGATGCTCCATAGAGAGGAGCCCACACGTTGGAGAGCACAAGTTCCTACAAACAGGACTCCTCCAAGGTGGATGCATTTGGGCATCCAGAATGACTTGTCATGAAGAAAGCCTCAGCTGTAGATGTGCCAGAAGATTTTCATGTCTTTATGCCCAGCTCAATTGGGTTTTGTGAGATGGAGCAGGTAGAGCATGGTCTGAATGCACTAGGGAGCTGATGGTGCATGAAGGAAAGTGTCTCAAGTGATCCATTGGGTTATTGTAATGTCAGGAAAAAATAGTGGCTCATTTGTCTCCAGTCTTCCTGAAGCAGAGAACCAGACTGCAGCTCTTGAAGGACAGTGGATGTTGAACCTCATACAGCAGCCATCTCTTATGACTGCTGAATTGTACTTCAGTGAAATTAAAAATGGAGAAGTGTCGTCTTTGGGCACAGATTCAGTGTTTTTTCTGCAGTTCCATTAGCTTTCAAGTACAGCTCTTGAGGTGGAGGTCTCGCACCACCTTCACACTGGCACAGTGGCTCTCTGCAGAGCAACATTCTCTGGTGGTGTTTGAGTCCCCTGGGTTTAGCCTTTGTTCAATTTGGACAAAGGTTTTTTTCAAGTTCTGCCATTCTGGGTTTCAGAGAAGGGGGTTTTCTGACAGCTCCAACAAGAAACTTGATTTCCTTGGTCCTTGAGGAAGAATATCCCAGTGCACACCCCAATGCACACTTTAACCTGTTGCAAGGGGTAAATAACAAACTAAATCTGATGTGCTATAGCTCTTTTTTACCACAAAACAAAGCACAAGAGAAGCTAAAGGGAAGGTGAGGAGCAGGGTTAACAAGGCAGAGATGGCCCCAGAGGCTGTGCTGAATTCTAGAGAACATGCTCCATATCCATGTGTTGTTTCAGAGGGTCTTCATCTCTCTGTTCCTGTTTTGTCTGTTGATGTACCCTGTGCTGTCTCCTGTTACTACATCATGGAGGTAAAAATCTGACTGCTGGAGATGCTTCTAAAGCAGAGTTGTCTCCTTTTAAGTGACACTTGACAGGTCAAGTTGAACTGATGATTTGTGGGCTTTTTCTGGTTTTAATTTGATGTTTGGAATATCAGCAATCCCTTTCAGCAGGTGTATTCAGGTTCCCAAATCATCCTGCTGCAAACATATGTACATAAAACAAAGTTTGTTTGTGATGCCTGTAGGCCCTGTGCTCTCTTTGGGCTTGAGAGCAGCAGGCAGCTCAGCAGCTCTGCACTTTTGGGGTGGGCTGGGGAGCCACCTGGCCTGGCTGCCTACAAAAGCCAGAGGGCATTGTCTGGTTTCATGCAGATTCCTGCAGTGAAGAAAAGAGGATGTGTTGCCCTGCTGCCTAATGGAAGAGAGAAACAAGAGAATGAGTTATATTTGTAAAAGTGTCTCATGCATGTTCAAACCCCACTCCATGGAGCAACTGGGCTGCAGAAGCAAAGGTTTCAGGTGGTTTTTAACCTTTGGAGGCTCTTTTCAGACTACAGGGGAGCTCTTTTCCAGTTTCCTTAGTGCTCCAGTGAGGTGGCACCTACAGGCAGGTTGAGTGGCAGAGTAAAGAGCCCATTCCTGTTTCCCAGCCTGATCACTGCCTGGCTTGAATGTGATGTTTTCATTAGTAGCTGAAACACAGTCCCATTTGGTTAAGGAGCTGCTTAATAGGGGAAAACAATCCTGGAACAAAAGCATTTGGCTTCCACCAGAATCAGTTAAAGCCTAATTATGATGCCAAGTCAGAGGGATCCAGCAGCACTGAAGTGATGCTCCTGGACACTGAACACTCAGTGTGTGTCAGTAAACACAGGTAATTGTGCTTATGTAAATAAAATGCAGCATAATCAGCTCCTGAAATTGAGAAAAAGAGGGAAAAAATTTGAAAAAGAGAATAAACCATCAAGGGTGGGCTGTGAAAACATCCACTGCATACCTGTGGAGTGAGAGCCAGCTCACAGCAGCAGCAGTTGTACTGTCTGCTTGGTTTTCACACCAATTCACCCTCTATTTTTATTCCTTTGTATTTTCCCCCCTCCTCCTAAATGCTTGAAAATGGGAATGGTGGAAGAACAGTGCCTGAATTGAGCTCTCTGCAGCTGCTGGGCCCTCCTTGCTCAGAGGAGCTTGCTGGTGTGCCCAAGCTCTTGAGGTTTGTGGAAGTAGCTAAGAATAAAGTGGAGATGCAGGGTGTGAAAAGCATCAGGAAGCTTGGAAGAAGAGGCATAGCCCTCATTTGATCGTATGGCAGAAACTTGGGAGCCAAATGCATCAGCCAGCAAGGGTGTGAGGCTTCCCATCTTTCCCATCTCCCAGGTGTGGGTCAGGAGGGGAGAAGTTTCCTGCTAGAAGAAAGTGTTACATGGATATGATTTTTTCTTTCTTTACAAAGTGATTGAGAACACTCTTGAGGTGGTAGAAAGACAATATTACCAGTGAAATATTGCATTTTGGGAACCATGTTCTGTCATTTAGTAAGTGCACCAGGTTAAGGCAGTTTGGTAATTCAAGGGGAGCTTTTCTCTCCTGTTCTCCCCCACTGTCTGGGGGACCTGAAGTCTCCTTTCCCTTGCCATAAATCCCATTATGGGATGGAGCTGTCCTGCACCCTGGAATGTTGTTCCAGGGGTGTGCAGCAGTGTGTACCTGGGCTCCCTTCAGCATTTGGGCAGCCAGCACTCATTTCCAGGCTGCACTGGGGCTCACAGTTAGTGGTGGAAGTAGAGATCTTCTGCATGTTTGAATTGTTTATTACTTTATAGCAGAAGAACAATTCTTAATTTTGGCAGCAGCATTTTTATGCTTTTTGGCTTCTTCATTACTCAGCTCAGTTCTGTTTCATTTGGGTCTCCTATAGAAACCCCTTCCACCTTCCCAAAACTTCCAGTTCCCTGTTGTGCAGGCAACAGCAAAGGTCTGCTCTGGGAGGGTGTCAGTGTGCTTGTGATAATTGTAGCTTGTTGCATGACAACTAACCTTTTAACGTGGAAACACTGCCTAGGCTTCAGTTGTCTCATTAATGCTTTGTTTTGTGCTTTCCAGCTGTATATCCAGCACTGCCTTTTGTTCAGTTCTGTCTGGTTTTTGTGTGTTTCAAGTATAAATCTTTTAACCCAGTGTTATTTTTTTTTTCCATGGTTTTAATTGATTTGCAGTTCTTTAGAAGAGAAGTGTCTTGGGGATTAGGGTGGCCTAGTGCAAGTTACACATGGGTGGGCAGCATCCATTATTCTGGGATTCCTGTGATGGGAATTGCTGCTGCAAAAAAAAGCCCAGAGGTTGTCACCCTTTTCCTGCTTCCTGTACCATTCCTTGTCTTGGCTCTGGGGCTCCTGATGGCTCTTTATTGATTATGCTCAGAAAATACCCTTCAAAAAGGCACCTGTACTAAGGGACTGCAGTTGTGGCTCTGAGGAGCAGGCATCATGTTGCCAGACAGGAATTGTCCATATGCAGAGCCCTGCTTCCACAGCTGAGGAAAAGCAGGAAACCTTCTGTCTGCAGAGCACCAACTTCAGTAAACCCTTTACACAGAAGGGAGCTCCATGCCTTCCCTTCTCTGGTTGTGCTTATCACCCAGCCATACTGTGCTGTGTCTCCAAACTGATTCTGTATCCCTGGCTGGAATTTATGCCCCCAGCCTCAAAGCAGGGAGGCATTCTGGAAATGCCACTGTATCTGCACACTTGGACATGAGTTTGGGGTTCACATTCCTGTGCTGAGCATCCTCATTGCTGCCCAGCATCCTCTTGCTGGGGCCAGGTGACTTGCTGGTGGAGGGCTGGTGTTCTGGGTTTGTTTTCTTTCACTCATTTTCTAGGTCTTCTTGTCTCTTCTCTCTGGTTCTGGTGACAGGCACGATCCGTAAGGCTCAGAACCTTCTGAAACAGTACTCTCAGCATGGTCTAGATGGGAAAAAGGGGGCCTCTAACCTCATTCCTATGGAAGGTAATCACAGCTCGAGCTACTTCACCCTTGACTTTCTCTGTGTATCAGCCTTGCTTTCCCAGGTGGGGCTTCCATTGGTTCAGTGCTTGGTGGACAGCATTGGATTGGGGAACCAAAGAGATGCTGGAACCAAAGAGATGGTGGAACCAAATTATTTTTGTTTTATTTATTCAGAATTTACTGTCTGAATTTCAAATTCTCCATAAGCATGAGAAGAGGTGGAGAAGAATGTTACCTTGACATTGACCCACCACAGCCACCTGGGTAATGGAAGCTCTGCTAACATCTGCTTGTGGTGTTCCTGTTCTCTTTTCTTTTTGCCTGGACTTTGAAATGTTCAGTTTCCTCGTGACCCTTCCAAACCTGGTGCTGAAGTGTTGGACCACAGGTAGCTCAGTGCATTGTGCCTGTACATCTTTTCTCTGCAGACCTGCCTGAATGGGTGACTCCTGTTTTCTGACCTCCTCTGCTCCTAGAGGTGGTGCTAGATAAGGGAGAAGATGCTTCAAAGCATCTCTAAGACATTCCTGCCTCCTGCTATGATTCCATCCTAAGCAGGTCTCCTCAGCACCTGTGCTGTAGCCTGCTAAACCCCAGATGGTGACTAACATCACTCACATGGGGGAAAATCCTCATGCTGAGCAGGAGAGGGCCTTTGAGTTTGATTTTTTTAATGGTTGTGGGTAAAAACTGGACTCTGATGCCTGTAATCCCATTCAGAACACACGGCAGGAGGTTCAAGGGACTCTTGTGGTCCAAGAAACAAATCACACTTCTCATCAGGTTTCAAAGGGTTGCTACTGCTATATAGCCCAACAAAAGGATTTGGTCAGGAAGCATTCCTGGGACTGTAGGGAAATAAATGTCCACCAGATCAAATAAGCCAGGCTTGAAGCAGCTTCCAGGCAGAGTGAGCATCCTTGCTGTGACCACCCTGGATAAATTGCGCCTTCTGTTTGTGCCGGCTGCCACCTCCTAGGTCATGAGCATGACTTACGCGTTAAGCACCTTTGCGATGCCCTGGGCGACAAGCACGGGCCAGCTGTGGGTAAGTACTGGGGTGGCACTGGGAGCCAGCTGTCCCCTGCTTCCCTGTGCTCTGTGTTCCACTCTCATGGTGCAGCCAGGGCTGCTCCTGAAGCATGAGCCTCCTCTGGCTAAGAAGCTCTGGCTCTTCTCAGTAGGATTCACTGCTACTAATCACACCCCGTCCCAAGCCCTCAGACAAGGAGCCCAACTTGGTCCAAGCAAAGGTCACCATGCTGAGGGACATTTTCCTGTAGGTGGCAAAAGGAGCAGTGCCCACATGCTACAGTGCACCACTGCACAGCAGGCAATCTGTGTCTCCTCTGCTGACCAAAATTGCTGAAATATCGACCTGAGGGACCTGTCAGCATGGGGAAGAATTGGTCCTTTTTCCAGCAAAAGTCTCTGGGAGGAGACAAGCAGCAGCCTATAGCTTAGAGAAGGCCTCTCTGTGTCATCTTAGTCTTGCAGGATGGGGTCTGTCTGTGTCTGTCCTGCAGACACATCCAGCAGTGGTTGGCACGAGTTGGTGCTGGCCCTTCTATCACTTCTCATGCCTGCCACATAGGATCTTTGATGGATCTTTGAGATATTCATATTCTAGGACTAAGATATTTGCATTTGTATGCAGCATTGTGTGGCAGATAATTCACCTAGCTGTGCTGATATTCCTGCTTCATAAGATGTAAATGTTCATCAGCCTGGTTTTTTTATCTTGTTTCTGCAAGCAGGAAGAAGCTGCCTTCCAGGACAGCCTTTATTTCCCAGAAATGTTGATGCCAAATGGCACTTCTTCATCTGCATGACGGATGGAGAGAAGGAATTCTAAAAATACAAGCAGAGATGTTGAATAATTCACCTCAGACCTTCCTGAGTTTAGTACTCTGTGTTCAAGCCCTTGATTAAATTTAGTCTGCATCCCAGCAGAGCTCCAAACTTCACTCCTGTCACGAGGCTGGAAGGAGGTGGTGCCCTGATGTGCATTTCCTGAGCTGCAGGTGGCTTTTCCTGCCTCCTGCAGGCTACTCAGAGATTCCCACACACAAACCCAGGGCAGGAGTGGTGAGAAGATGACTCTTGTTCTCACACACAGAATCAGCTTTCCCAGAAGAGCCTCATGCTCCTTGTGTAAACCAAAGGCATCTTGCCCTTGCAGGGAGGGACGACGTCTTCGACATCGAGATCGACGCGTACATCCACTGCGTCAGTGCCTTCGTCAAACTGGCCCAGAGCGAATACCAGCTCCTGACAGAAATTGTCCCAGAGCACCACCAGAAGAAGACCTTTGATTCTCTCATCCAGGTCAGTTGAGCCTCTGTTGAGGGAGCCAGGGCCTGCAGAGAGGCTGGAGAACATGTGCTCACTGGTGTCGTAGGAAGGAGACCAGGACACCAGATGGTTCATCACAGGTCCAGTTTATTAAAGAAAGCATCAAACACTTATACAGCAAATAATAAGCTCATGAATATTCTGTAAGCCAAGCAATCTATTGGTTAAACTATACCATTAACTCATCCACATTCCTTTGGGCCCACGTTCTCTACTTCTCACACCTCGCTGTCCATTTCTTTATCATCCTCCGCTAGGCCCAAGGACACGTTATCTTTGCAGGTGCAAGATTTGGAATTAACCACTGTCTTGTACTTTTCCATTCTTTAGCCTGCTACTTTCTCAACAGACACCCTGCCTGCAAAAAGGCCTCTGCCCTAGTTAGGACATCTCTACCAAATCAATTCGGCTGTGTCCTCTCTCCTCAAGCCACTCTTTGACAAAACTCTCCACACACTGGTACCCCAGATGATGCATCAGGAATGGGTGTCCTGCACTGAGCCCTTTGTGCTGCCTGGGTACAAATCCTGTTCCTTCCTCATGAGTCTCTGGCTTTGTTGCAGGAGTCGTTGGATAATTTGATCATGGAGGGTGATAACATTGTCTCAGCTGCCCGGAAAGCCATCATCAGACATGACTACTCAGCTGTGCTCACAATCTTCCCCATCCTGAAGCATCTCAAGCAGATGAAGCCAGAATTTGACCAGGTTTTGCAGGTAAATGTGATGGGATTGGAGAGGGTCCTGTGGCTTGTGTTTTCTGGATTGTCACAGTGGCTTTGAGCAAAGCCATGCTGCTTCTGTCCCCCAGTATGGACTGCAGTTACACAAATGCACCTTGCTCCTTTCTGAGCTGGTGAAGCAGCAACTCAGCATCTCTCAGCAGCAGCTCTTTTCAGTTCAAGTCCTGACCCTGATGGACCACCACAATATCTTCCCTTTCTGCTTGCAAAATGTGGGATTTCATGTGTTGTTGATATTTCATGTGCTGTAAATATTCTTCTGGCATATGGGGAGCTGAGAATGAGATGCTGGGGTGGGAGGTGAGGTAGGGTAGGTGCTGGGTGGAAGTTCAGATATTATTTGTTTTCCTTTTCTGACCTATTGTGGAATTATTCCAGGGAACTGCAGCAGGCACTAAGAACAAACTGCCAGGGCTGATCACTTCCATGGAGACCACTGGTGCAAAGGCACTGGAAGAGTTTGCAGACAACATAAAGGTAGGATTCTCCTCAGTGGTCTCTGATCAGGCTTGGAAGAGGGTTTTTTGGAGCGAAACCCCTAGTTTAACTTTCAGCTTTCCATGATACCAGGTAGTTTCTGACTGAAGCAGGAACTTGCTGGAATGCTTGGGACAGTCAAATACCAAATGCTTGGTGCTGGTTTCAAACACAGAAGGCCTTTGCCTAAGATCCTTAGCAGGGATCCTACAAATAATTTGATATGAGCATCCAGGCCTCTGCAGGTACCAAGTCTATCTCAGAATTAATCCTATTTAAACAGAAAGGAAAATTGCTGCCTTGAAACATTTTGGAGGACTCCTGTTAAGCTGTTCCTGTGTAAGATGGGCTTGGTGAGTGGTAGGTGAGCTGAAGGTGTGATGGTCACATGCTGAACAGAGCCCTGAGGTTCTGAGCTGCTGGCAGCTCTGGTTGCTGGGCACCAGGAGATGGCACTGCAGGAGCTGGGCCTGAGGGTGTTGGGAGTGGCTGCATGAAGGAGCCTTCAGCTCACTGGTAGCAGCAGTTGTATTGTAGGTGTCTCCCCTTCCATGCTCACCTTATGTCTCTCTGTTCTCTTTTTAGAACGATCCAGACAAGGAGTACAACATGCCAAAAGATGGGACAGTTCATGAACTCACTAGCAATGTACGTGGTGATGGTTTGAACTATGCTTTGTGGAAAACAGCTTCTGAAGGAATTTTTAAAAGAGCAGTAGGGAGGCTTCCTAAATTAAGGTGTCTTGGCATTAACAATTATACAATTTTCATGGCAGGATGAGCTGGTGACCCTCGCTCAGCCATGGTGGGACTGTGTGGGGAAAACCCAGCAGTTCAGAGGAGTGTAGTGATCTGTTCTTGAATGCCTCTAAGTGTGGGGGGACAAGTGGTTCTTCATGATCCTTAATAGCAGAGCACAGGAGATGTAATGATGGCTGCTCTTAAATTCCCTCCTTTGCCTCCAGGCCATCCTCTTCCTACAGCAATTACTGGATTTCCAGGAGACAGCAGGTGCCATGCTGGCATCACAAGGTACACACATGCATGGGGCTTGCTTGGGCATGCACTTCCTTCCTCAGATTCCCTGGACATCTTCCCTGAAGTGACCAAACCTCAACATGCACTGTGAGCTTGTTCTCCTCCTGTCCTTCCCCCTGTGGTTTGTCTTGTCCTCTGATCTGCCTTGACCACACAGTTGATTGTCTGGAGAACTCCAAGGGATGCAGAGTTCCTGGCAGGTACAATGGGGAGGGTGTTTGCTGCTGGTGTGCTCTGAGAGGGGATGCCTGGGTCTTTTAGCTCCAAGTCTGGCCCTGGCCTGGTGCTGTGTGACTGTACTGGAGTGAGGGTGGCTGCTCCAGCTGGGCTCTGTGTGTGAGCAGCACCATCCTCTGCTCAGACTACAACAGCAGCAGCAAGAATCTCCTCAGCCTTGAGACATGGGCAGTCTGGAGCCATTTGTGCATCCTGTCAGAGAGACAAGTTTTAGTTCTGCTCTCCAGGCTGCTGAAGAGACCCACTGGAAATCAATGCATAGATCAGAAGCTGAGAGTTGCTCATGTAGCAGGGTGATGCTGCTTATCAGCTGGAGTCGGATTTTTGGTTCTGAGCAGAGCAGCAACTCCAGGCTCTCCAGTGAGCTCTTGGCAGAGCTTGTGCTTTCAAGGAGGTTGGAATAGAGCAGACTGGAGATTCAGGGGCACAGGGCCCTGAGGAGGCACAGACTGGAGAGGGTTAAAGAGCCCATTAGAAGCAGAGGTAGGAGGAAGCTCAGAGCTGCCTCCAGACTGTTACTTGCAAAGTTCTGTTTGGAAATTTTTGCTAATTGTAAATCAACTCAAATGAGGATGTCTCTGCTTTTGCCCCATCACTTCTAGCACTGCCTTGTGCCTTTTCCACTTGCAGGCTCACTGTGCTCAGGCCCTTCTGGGCCTTGGCTCTCTCTCCTTGGCCAAAGAATTGGTCTGAAATTTTTTCTTGGAACAACCAACTGTTTCCCATGTTGTCCCCTGAATGGTGATGTCAGCACTGTTTGGAAGTCTTGACATGTTTTCTTGCAGTGAGATCTCTCTTAGCTGATTGAAAAGTCAGCATAGATTTGAGGTAGCTTTGCCTTCAAAGTGGGTTTGGACTGATTTGGAATGAGGTGTTGTGTTAAATACAACCAATGACAATGCAAACAATGTCTCCAGCAGGGGAAGGAGGTTGGACTCTGCCTTTCCTCTGTGATCTCCATTCCATTTGTGGCCTTGGAGGGACTCCTGCCTGCTCTCCTGTGCCCCTGCCTGTGGCTGCTCTGTGTTAATATCTGCTTTGTTCTCAAAGGAATGGTGGTCTCTAACCTGTCTTTTTGCACTTTTGCATTTCTTTTTCTCTCTCATCCCTCCCCTTTCTCTCTGCTCTGCCTAATCTCTGTAGTTCTTGGGGACACATACAATATTCCTTTAGATCCCAGAGGTAAGCAAAGCTACCCACCCCTACCTGTTCACATTGCCTCGGGCTCTGGTGATGTATGTTAATTCTTTATCCTCCAGCAGTTGTAAATAAATTAACCCATAATTGAAAAGGGGGAAAAGGGGAGGGTAAATAATCCTTGCCAGGAGAGAATAGGGAGGGCTTGTCAGCAGCAGACAATGAGGGATGCCACAGGAGCTGAAACAGGCTCAAGACACTGTGATGGCACTGGCTCTCTTTGGCACAGGTGGCAGATTGGCCCAGCTGGTGCCATGCTTTGTCCCACGTGCACTCAGCTCCTTATTGTGCAGCTCCCAGCAACAGGAGCTCGAGGCCTTTCCCAGGGGTGCTGCTGAACCCAGACCACCCGAGCTGGCTCTGGCTGCCAGACTCTCTGGAGGGGGCAGGGGGAGGTGGCCACCCCACGTGTCCTGTGGGCCCCATGCCCACAAACCCTCGAGGGCAGAAAGGCATCTCCAGACAGGAGCGTGTGCCAGCCTGGAGTCTCTGCTGCCTGCAGGGGCAGCCTCCCATGCTGGCACAGGCCCTGTCAGCAACCATGGGGATGGCTGAAGCTTTCCAGAGCCCTTCTGCTTGTTTCAATTACTGTTGTGTGCTTGCTGTTAACAGCTCCAGCTCATTGTTGTCTGACTGCCAGTTTCTAGTGCTTACCAACACTTTTCAGGCTGGGGGAATGGATGGGGAGGAGGAGTTTTATGAGTCTTTCAGATCAAAAGGATGTTCCCTGAGCAGCTGGAAGGAAAGGAGGTATTTCTGCCAGGGTGCTCTGTATTTGATGCAGACACAAGGATTGAGGGTGCAGAGCTCTTGCCCCCTCAGCCTGGATGAGCTGCTGACAGTGGGCTCTGGAGCAGGAGCTGTTTCACTGTCAGTGGGAGCTAATTCTTAGCAACAGGGGTGAGGAATAGGGGCAGGCTGACCACACACCCCCTCTCCCCAGGGCATGTTAACTGGCCTAAGACTTTCCTTTCAGAGACCAGCTCCTCAGCCAGCAGCTACAGCTCAGAGTTCAGCAGGAGGCTGCTGAGCACCTACATCTGTGAGTACCCTGCACACCTTGGATGCCTTAGGATTTTAGCTTTTGTATTTTTCATATATTTGTAATCCTGCAATTCTTTAATGTGTAACTCTAAACTCCATATAGAGTGTTAGCTACTGCTTTCCCAGTTTGGTCAGACAGAACAATTCCTCTCTAGGCCTGGCAATCAAGGACACCTCAGTGTCTCAGGCCCCAAGAGATGTAAACAAAAGTGAATTGGGGGGGAGCAAACTTTGGGTAAATGACTTCATTACCTAAAGCTGTAATTGGAAAATGAACCCCCAATGTGCAAATAGACCAAACTTAAAAAAGTATGAACACCCATGACCCTGTCCATTTTTGGGTGTAGCCCCAGGGAAGGGGCTGAAATGTACCTGAAGGCCCTTCAATAAATAGAACTGCTTTTTACTCTTTTAATTTTGTTGAGCCTCTGTTTTTAGGTAGCCCCTAGAAGGCATCAGCTTCCTGCACATGCCCCATGGAAATGCCTTCACTGGGCTCATTCCTGGGTGAAGAGCACAGGCTGTGTCTCTTCTCCATGGGATCTTTCCATGTGATTTGAGCTGGAGTCTGATGGGAGGGATGAAAAAAGGGTCAGACTGGGAGTTGGGCTGTTAGAGTAGGACAGGGCAAAGCACAGTGCAGCAGCTCACTGTGCTGCAGAGCTGTTCCTTAAACCATTGTCACCTTCAACCCCATGAAGGCTCCCAGCTGCCAAAGGGGAGGTTAAGAAAGTGACATCAGTGATTTCTCTTTCTGTTACAATGGAGAGCAGGTCCTTCAGCTTCTGAGACCTGAGCTTGCATTGTAGCAGGTTCTGGGGGTTCCTCTGAACCCAAAGTGCCTCTCCATTGCCAAGGCATGGAAGGCAGCAGAAAATCTGTGTAAGGACTGTTAAGTACATGTGATTGTAGCCTTTGTGCAGGCAGTCAGGCCTGTGCTGTTCACTTTGCTGTGGGCCCACAGCTTGGTTTGCTTTGTCAATAATAATAAGTTTCAGTGCAAAACTTCTTGTTCTGTGTTTTTCCCTCTTTAAGGCAAAGTTCTGGGCAACCTGCAGCTTAACCTGCTTAGCAAATCCAAGGTTTATGAAGACCCAGCTTTGAGTGCCATTTTTCTGCATAACAACTACAACTACATTCTGAAATCTCTGGAGAAGTAAGTGTGTGTCCTGAGTGAATGTCCCTCAAGTCCAAGGCTGATTGGATGGTTTTGGAGCTCTGCATTGAGAGCATTTACTTGCCAGCCTCATATCTGCTTTTTCTTCTGTCCTTGAAACTGCTTCTTTGAAGGTTTTGCAGTATTATAAACATCACATTACCTGAGAGTGGAAGATAAAAGCATTAGGAAATGCCTTAGATTTTAGAGAATCCTTTGATCTTGGGAGGATTGAGGATGTGGCTGTGGAAAGTAACTCAGAGTTGCTTCTGTCTCCCAGTTTGCACATTTCAAGGAACATTTTATTGTGAGGGGCTGAAAGGAACTTGTTGATGGGGGTTGAAATGCTGCCATCCTGAGAGCAGCCTGGAGAGCAGCTGGCTCAGGTGCTTCCTCAGGTTTCCTGCTCTTCCAGGTCTGAGCTGATCCAGCTGGTGGCTGTGACACAGAAAACAGCTGAGAGATCCTACAGGGAGCTCATTGAGCAGCAGATCCAGACCTACCAGCGCAGGTCAGTGACATCCTCTGCCTCTGCCCTGCTTCTGGCACTCTGGGAGCTGCTGGAGCAGTGGGAGAGACTCACCTAAACCAGAAACTTGGCTAAAACCAAAGCAGAGTATGTTTGGTTTCCAAGCAATTAATCCATTCTGGGAACGGGTCACTGTGGGAAGTTTTGGGGTGTGCATTGTCTGAGCTGGAAGGGGTCACTGTGGGAAGTTTTGGGGTGTGCATTGTCTGAGTTGGCCTTTGGGTCACAGGTGAAGACAGAGGTGCTCTGGTAGAGCTGTGAGTAACTCTCTGCTTCTCTCCCATCTCATTGCACATGCAGCTGGTTGAAGGTGACAGATTACATCTCTGAGAGAAACCTGCCTGTCTTTCAACCAGGAGTGAAGGTGAGAGGACAGGCAAGGATGGGCTTGACACAACAGAAGTTTTCAGAAAAACCATCTCCTTTGTCATAAAAAAGTCCTAGAAACCTCCTTTATATCTCATGCCAGTATCACTCTGCAGAGTGACCACTGTGGCTGGCACAAGTGGACAGCAGCATTTCCTTCTGATCTGCCCTGCCCTAGATTCATCAAGTCTTTCAATCTCTGCCTCCATTCTTACATCTTCACCTGAGCAGATGCCTCTATTTTGGATCTTCAGAACCTGAGACCTTCCCTTGGAAAGGGTTGGAAGCATGAAGAAGTCTTTTATGTGTGTTCTGGCTAAAAATTATCCTTGTTAACCCTTTTTCAGCTGGAGATAGGGTGTGCTGCTCTCTGCACCTCTCTCCTCACTGCTGTAGGAGAGGGAATCCAAACCAAGTACTGGGGATTGCTTAGGTTGGATGGGGAGCCGTGGGCAAACATTGGTGTTGGATATTTATTTCTGGAGGTGAAATCAGATCTTTTCCCTCCTTGTTGCAGCTCAAGGACAAGGAGAGGCAGATGATAAAGGAGCGCTTCAAGGTAAGGAGGTGTTGGGTGGTGTCAGGACATCCCTGCTTGATTGGGACACACATCTGCCTGAGGAGGAGACCTCTGGTGATCCCCAGGGGAGGGAAGGAGCATCTGAGTGCAGATGGGATGCTCACTGAGTTTGTCTTTGGACAGGGTTTTAATGATGGGCTGGAGGAGCTGTGTAAGATCCAGAAGGCCTGGGCCATCCCAGACATGGAGCAGCGGGACAAAATCCGCCGGGCACAGAAAACCATTGTGAAAGAGACCTATGGTGCCTTTTTGAGCAGGTGAGACCTCCTGCAGCACTGTCCTCTCCTCTTTGGGTTTACTGAGGTCTTTGGGGCCTTGCATAGCCTGAGCAAGCCACTTTTCTATTGTCCTATCTGAGCTTCTCTGCTTTGCACACTCAGACATCCCCAAGGTGACCTTGAGTATTTGCAGACATCTGCTGTCAGCCTGATCCTTGGTCAGTGAGCACAAAACCCTAAACCAGCCTGGGCTGTTCATCTAAAACTTGTGAGGCCAGCTGTAACCAGGTCCTTGCTCTGCACAGGATACTCTGTCACTCGAGTGGGGTGTGCTGCAGCTGATTTGTGACAGAGGAGGGACCAGTGGGTCTCTTTGCTGTGTTCCAGTTGTTTGTCCCGTTTTCTTTTGTAGATTTGGCAACGTGCCCTTCACCAAGAACCCTGAGAAATACATCAAATACCAGGTTGACCAGGTGGGGGAGATGATTGAGAAGCTGTTTGACACATCAGCATAAATTTCCAGCTGTTGTGAACTCTCCAGCTGCCACGTACAAGCCAGTGCTCTCTCAGCAACCCTTGGGACTCCCTTCCCTTCTCCCCTGCCCCATTGTGGTGGGCAGGGTGTTATACTTGTATTTATCAGATTTATAAAGCTGTGGAAACACTAACTCCTGGCTGTCTTTGCTCTGGATCCATGGGATAAGGCAAAGTCTGCCCTGTGGGCTCCTACCTTGACACATCCACACATCCACCTCACCTGGGTTTGTGTTAATGCCTTGATGTGCAGCAGACATGGGGAGTGTGTTTAAAAACAAAGAAAAATACACTACCAAAAAACCCCTGTATGGGTAGAGCCCTTTTGTTAGGTGCAGGAAGCTGTGAGCTCCAAATGGTGCCACCTGCTTCCCTGATGGGTTTTGGGAATCTCAGTTGTGTAGGATCCCAAATTATTGTCACATTGTTGATCTCAGCTGTAATTTAGTTCAGTGATGGGGCTCAATGCTGAATGTGGGGTTTGGGGTGCCTGGCAGGGCTGCAGTTCAGTCATGCACAGGGATGTTTTACCCCAAAATCAGACCTGTATCAGTGTTCCACGTGAGGCAGTGGGGTGATGGCAGGGCCTGCAGCTGTGACAGCAGTGGAAGCTCCATGGTGTCCTGGCTGGGTGCTGCTCCTTACTGACCTGAGGCAGAGCAGGTGTTCCCACAGTGATTTCCACTCAGCACCTTCCTCCCATCCCTGTTTTCCTTTGTCTCCTGTGTTCCCAAATCCGAGTCATCTCCTCCCTGCAGGCAGCCGAGCCCATTGCCTTTGTTTAACTGTGGGGATCACGTGCAGAGCAAGTGCTGCTCTCCCACGTGCCTTGGAGCATTCCTGGCAGGCTTTGAGAGGGGAGCTGGACTCTGACACTGCACCAAGGCTCTTCAGGGCGTTGGGGCACCTGTGCTGTACCTGTGCTCTCTGACCAGGCATTCCCTGCTCCCCTCTCCCTCTCCTGCTGCCTGCTCCATTGTTTGTCTGTAACAATTGAAAGCCAGGGTTTCCATAGAGTCAGGAGCCCTCACAATAGCTGCTGCTTTGCAGCTTGGAGCAAATCCATTATTCACCTGAGCAGTGTTTAGAGCAGAGTGTGCTGGGGTCTGATCAGCCCAGCAGTGGAGGAGCTGTGGGATGTTAGAGCCTGGGTGAGAGCACAGGTTGTGCTGTGGCAGTCCCAGCTGCCTGCCTCCTCAGACAGATGTTCTTCAGGTAGCTCCTGCCCTCCCTGAACCCCTGGCCTCCTCTTCCTCAGCCTGGTGTAGCAAATGCCTGAAAGCAGCAGTTGTGACAGGCTCCTCCAGCCCAGAGCTGGACACGGTGTGAGTTCAAGTGTTGACCAGCACCTGACTGGTTTTGTGTGCCTGACCATGCAGGCTCACAGTGCCAACACAAGAGCCCTCCCTGCAGAAACCTTCCTCCTGCTGTCAAATCCCAGTGTCTGTGGAAAGCTGAGATCCTGCACTTGCTGTTTTTAACCCAGAGCCTCTGGAGGCTGGCAGGCGCCGGGCAGGGTTTTTATACACAAGCAAAACTCTGCTGCCTTGTGTTTCATGCAGTGTTGAGTCTGCTGGATACACACCCTGACATTCACCAGAAGGAGCTGGATTCCATCTTTCTGGCTCTGTTTCTGACACTGCAGCAGTCTGATATGAATTTCTTTCTTGAGGAGAGTGCGTGGAATTCATGCTGAGCTGTAAAACATGTTTTACTGCAGCTGTTCCCAGGGTGAGTCAGTTCACCTGGAACAGTCACAGGGAAAGCCAGGAGAGGGGAGGGGGAGCTCTGCCTGCAGCTTTCCTGAGCACCTGAGCTTCAGTGTGCAGGAGCTGAAATCCTCCCTGAGCTGATGCTTTTGTGCCAACCAGAGCTCAAAGAAAAGGTGTGAGTTTGTCCAAGGGTCTGGGATAGGGCCACATCCTGTTCTCCAGAGGCTCTGGGAATGCCTCTGCATGGCCCCCACTAAAAGAGGCCTTTCTGGGCTTTGCTGTCAGCCTGTTGCCCCAGGAAAGCTGGACCAGACCAGGGCTGGGGGGCAGATGCAGCCAGAGATGGGATATAAAATATCCTGGTCCCTCCATCAGCAGCACCAGTGGCTGACTGCATTGTTTCTACCCCAGGGATGCCCTGGCTGATCTGGAGGAGGGAATGGGGGTAGGAGGCTGCTGGGGGCTGATACTGCAGTAAGGAGGAGCTGGAAGTGATAATTCCCTGGGGGAACAGGTAAATTCTGCTGCTCCCAGGTGGGAATCCAGACCCTCATTTCCCTGAGTTAAAGGGAAACCTGAGCCGCCCGGTCCCTGTTCCCTAAATCCAGCCTGGCTGTAAGATTCCCTCACTCTGCCTCTTCCTGCTCAGGGCATGAGCGTGGGGAGCCGGAGCTGCGGTGGGAGCAGCAGCAGTTGTGTCCTGAGCCACCCCTGCCCCAGGGCGGCAGCTCCAGGCTGAGCTGTGTCCAACCCCGGCAGCGCCAGGGGAGGGCTCCGTGAGCTCCCTGCCTTTTTATGGTCAGGAATGTGTTTGCAACACGTTAATTAGGAGCGCCCATGGCGGCCGGCACAGCCTGACCCTCTCAGGGCTGAGCCCTTCCTGCCCCTCTGAGAGCTGGGAGTGGAGCCTGGGGTCATGCTGAGACCATGGCAAGGGGCCACAGCTGGGGCTGGACCCCCTCTGCCTCCCCTTTTGCTCCCCCCAAGGCTCCTGTGGGGTCTGACCCCCTTCCCTCACCTCCTGTTCTGCCCTGACACAGGCAATGTGTCTCTACATCCAAGGTTTTGGGGCCAGAGCCCCATTTCTGCCTTGTTTATTTTTTAGCTGCCCATTGCCCATGCTGGGGGCTGTGCCAGGGTCTGGGGGTGCTCCCTGCTGCCTCCTCAGACTGGGGAGCAAATTTGACAGAGTAAATATTTGAAAACAAACCCACAAACCAAAATAACTTCTCTAACCCTAGTGATAAATCTGTGTGGAAAGCTCACTGGAAAGTTCACACTGAGGTTTCAGCCAAGTGTCCCTCACCTCCCTGCCCACTCCTGGGCCTGATGGGAGCTCAGTTCAGCCTATTCATTTTTCACTTCCAGTTAAATATGCTTTTATTAAATTTTAACTGGAACATAAGGACTTGCAGTGCTCTTAATTTAAGATAAAACCTCCCAGGGGAATGGACCAGGAGCCCATTTCTCTCAGCTGGGAGCATGGTGAGTGTCAGCAGATCCTGATGCTCTTGTCTTTTCCATCTGGGCCTGATATGCTCTGTTATTTGAGGGGGAAAGTAGCTTCTGAATATGATTTTGTGTTGGCAACACAACCTTGTGTTTGCCCTTGGAGGGCTCATCAAGGCACGGGCTGGGTGTGAGGGTGATGCTTTCCTCCTCAGAGCAGGGACAATGTCAGATAAGCTGTAGAGGGCCTTTTTCTCTAATTCTGAATTTGCTGTGAACAGAGTAATGATCTGGCTTCACTCTTACACCTGCAGCCAGGTGAGAGAGTCAGTGGATGGGTGAGGATCCATAAAATGAGGAGGGAAGTTGGATATGTCACAACAGAGCCCTGACCTTGCTGTGACCATCACCAAGCCCCTCTCTGCCCCTGCAGAGGCTGAGAGCAGCCATGTGAGCCATGCCAGAGGGGATTTGGGGGTGCTGGAGGCAGCAGGGAGGTGCAGAGCACCACTAGAGCCTGCCCCCAGCCTGCTGTCACCCTTTGGGACCTCATTGCTGAGCAGTGACCAGAAATAAGCTGGTGCCAGTGGTGCCCAGAGGGGCCACAGTGATGCTTTGGGCTGGGAGCTGAGGAAGGGCTGTCCTGGGATGTGGCTGGGCAGTGGCTGGGCAGCTCTGGAGCAGCAGCAGGGCAGGGCAGGGTCAGCCAAGGGCTTGGGAGGCTGCTGGAAAGGCTGGGCTGGGATGGATGGGGAGCAGAATCAGTGTCTCTGACAGGGACATGGGGATATTGCACCCCTGCCATGCCAGCACAGGGACCTGTGCCCTTGGGCACTGCAGAGGGGGTGGGCCAACACCTCCATCCCCAAGGTGAGCTGACAACTGCCCAGGAGAGTGCACAGAACCCCTCAGTGTGTGTGGGATCCATTGGAGCATCTCCATTCCCAAGGTGAGCTGACAACTGCCCAGGAGAGTGCACAGAACCCCTCAGTGTGTGTGGGATCCACTGGAGGCAGATCTGTGGTAAATGAGGGCCCAAGGAAAGTGAGGCTTTGAGCTGTGTTTGTGCAGCTGCTTCAATGTTTTCCCTGGCTGTGAAGGGTTGAGCAGGGAGATAAAAGCAGATGTAATTAATGGAGCTGCTTATATGCTGCTCTCTGTGACTTATGCTGGGAACAGGACTAGACTAAATATCACCATCACTGATAGGAGGAGGTGGCCAATTTATGGCCCTGTCTGTGGGGAGAGGAAGATCTGGTTATAATAACACTCAGCAGGGGAAAAGAAATGTTTTACAGTCAGAAGCTTCTCAAGACAAAAAGGCCAAGCACTGGGGCTGGGTGGAGGAGGGCTGTGTCAGGAGCAGACCCCCAAGGAGAGCCAGGGTCCTGGACAGAAATACCCATCCTAGCCTGGGGAGCTCTGCTGTGGGGATTCACAACAGTGGAATCTGTGCCGACAGACTGAGAGCCTGTGTAATGCAGTTTTATAGAGACCTGACCTTCATGGGGGTTGTTGGGGGAATTGTAGGGATGCAGAGCTCATCCCAGCTCCCTGCATTTGGCCACCAACCCTGGCTGTGCTCTGCCACGGGGTTTTCAAAAGGGTGACTTGATCCTGGTCCCGTGATGCTCTTGTGGTAAACAAGAGGAAGGATTTCACGGACAGCCCTTGGCTGGTGGCAGAGCCTCTGCAGGGTTCAAAGATAGGAGTGAATCACAGCAGTGTCACTCAGCGTGCAGTGACATCCATGACATTCCTGTGTCATTCATGACATTCCTGTGCCATGACATTCCTGTGACATTCGTGACATTCCTCTGCCTCAGTGCTCCCCTCCAGGGATGTGCTCAGGCATCACCCACATCCTCCATCCCCCCTCAGCTTCCCTGCCTCCAAGCAGGTCCCACCACCCTCCAGCCTCTCCTGCACTGCAGCTGGGGGGCTTCCCAAAGGAGCTGGACACGGCAGGTGGG